GATGAATATTTTTCATTTCAAATCAGTGTTCAGATTAGATAATTTCTTCAGAATTTTTCAAAAACAATAAATAGTTACAAATTTCCCTCACTTCAAATCGAAATATTTTTAGTTTCTAACTATAAATTCAAATCGTCTAATCATTATTGAATGATATAAAAACGTATTTCAAAGCACATGCCGCCATCTATTGGAGAATAGGTGAACTAAGAAACAAATGTTTCACTATATTCGTATATCTATGAAGTGATCTGTAAACCTATAAAAATTTATCGTTTCTCTCCAAAATTACAGGTCCGGATTAGCATACAAACCTGTAATGGGTACAATTTGATGAACATAATTTTTTTAACATTCAACCCAAATGAAATTGACACATAAAAAACTAAATTCGTTCATCCCAATCTAATATTGACAATAAAATTTTCATTTTTATGATGTCTTCGACATCAACCAAATAATGTTTTACTAAAAACACTTTTCCCACGCCAGAACAAAATAATGTCTTTCAGAGCGACAATATTATTTTTTCGTATGAATAACGTATTTTTAATTTATTCATTTCACGCCATTGATTCCAGTTCCAGCCTGGAATATTGTTTATGGGCTCAAGGGGAATATTTAAACAATAGAAATTTACTAAAAAATATTTTATATACCGACGAAGCCACTTTCACTACAAATGAAGTAGTGTCATCACAGAATTGTCGCTATTGGGCAGCGTTCCCAAGGTAGACCTTTTAGTACTTGACATTCAAAAAAAAAATTATTAAAATCGATTTACAACTTCAAATGTTAAGGGGGGTGTTTCCATTAAAAATGGGTCACACTGTATATATAGGCCGTTTTTTTTTAGCTGATACCACTATTACTATCTCGGAAACGGTAGGTCGTACAAGGACGGTTAAATGGAACAAAAGTTACCTTTTTAGGGATGCAACACAATGGTATTTTCAAATTCATAAAATCATCAACGGTTTGTGAGATATTTGCAAAAAACAGAAAATGACAAATTTTATTTTTTTGCTCTACCGCCTCCATTTTCAATAGTATCAAAAAATGACAAAGAAACTTTTTGCTTTATTTTATGTGCTTGATAATCTGGGTGAACTCATTTTTCGTTCATCAATATATGTTTTTAAATATGGACCTGTATATTTTTAATGCATTTTCGTAGTCATTATAATTACAAATTCGTTGATATATCACAACATCTATATTTCCCGACGTTTCTTCCTGAAACCATATCATCACTATAATTTTTTATTAAGAGCTCGAATTTCCGAATGTTACTGAAATCCAGAGTTCTTCTATCGATAATGTCGTTCATTGAGATTATAAATATTTGTTGTCACTGAAATCCAACTAAATTTCTGTCAGAGTCTTCTTGAAAAAGAGAGACCAATAATCTATGTATCAATACCAGTCATTCATAATTTCTAAATATCTTTTGAAAATTTGTAGCTACCCAAAAATTTCTGTTCAGAAAATGAGGATATCAACAAGAATTAACTAATAAAAATACTATATTAAAAAAGTCATAGATGATTTTCACGAGAAACATGATAAGCGATAATTTATTTTTTTGAAGTAAGCCATGAAATACATGAATGTGAATGTCAAGTTAACTGTCATACACAAAATAAAAGTTATTCAAATCGTTGAGCGATTTTAAGGGAGAAACATGAATTTTCCAATGACGAAAAAGTGGATATGCTTTTTGTATATTCGAGATGTTTGAGAAATGCTACCAAATCTCTGGCAATGTATCAGAAATTGTATCCTGAACGACGACAATCTAATGTTACGTAATTTTTTTTCCTTCTTACTTATTCAATCATAAGTTCATATGTGGGGTATTTTAGATATAAACGAGAAAGAGTTGTTTACTCACAGCTAGTTTTAAACAGCGAGAGGGGGGGTGAGTTATACAAATGTTACAACAGATTTACTATTAACCCTGTATAACGTAATAGCAAGCAGATCCAAATCTATAAATTATCCACAATACAATAATGCCAGAAGGAAAGTCCTTAATGCCGCTATATGGTACTTAGCATCGATTCCAAAGGGACAGCTGTAATACGGCAACTATTGCGCTACTCCGTCAAGGAAGAGGATGAAAACCCATGTGACATTTCCTCATTTCCTTGTCCCCAAATAACTGTCCGTATAATAATATCGAGTTTTTCTGGGTGGTATACACCAATTTAAAAAAAACGCCTGAAATTAAATTATTGTTGGATTTCTCGTATTATGGGATATATTGTAGTCCTGTGATGACACAAGGAATAATACTTGAAAACTCACCTCCGATTATCGAACCCTAATAATTCGATGACGTTTTCATATACAGTTGAAAAAAAACTGATATAAATATCCTCCGAAGAGATAAGAAAACGGAATTCTCAACCTTCCAAATCAGCACTATTACGATTCCGTTTCTGTGAACAACCGCTTATAGCGTTTTACGAAAATCCCTAAGTTAAATCCACAGTTCGAGTATCATTGTCAATTTCCAACTTAAAATTATTAAAATACCTTGGTCGAGGACCAACAAGGTTTCTTATTTTTTCTGTTAGTGGCAGCAGCTATCAGGTGGTTGTTTACGATTTCGATATGAGCTATTAGTAGGTGGGCAAGCGACAATAAATAGGTACCGAAAATACTTTATGGAATTATGGATGTTTTGAAAAACCCTCCGAAAGAAAATGTACGGTTACTGAATGTGGTGGCGATAATGAAATCGGCGTTTTAGGTGAGTTCAAAGAAGATTCACAATAATGATAAAGTGGCATTAATTTGATTTTGGATTTATGGAAAATAAAAAAATTGAGAACAAGAATCTCTGAGGAAGATTGCTCATAATTCGGCCATATCCACTACGTCTGTACGGAAAATTTTGAAGAAAAATAAATTCAAGCCTTATCGAGTCAGGAAAGTTCATCATTTGCGTTTAACGGACTTCAACACGGAAAAAGTTTTTTGTAGGTGGCTCATTAGAAAATTTCGCCAAGATAATGAAATTAAAAAAAATATGTGGTGTGATGAAAGTTCATTTACCAATAACGGATGGTTCAACAGGAATATACATTATCATTGGCGACAAGAAAATTAATATTTACATAGAGGTACCAATTTTCAAGAGAGATATGGTGTTAACGTATGGCTTGGTGTTCTTGATAATAAAATTATTGGCCCCCACTTTTTGTTTTAACATCTCTGACCGGAGAATTTTACTTGGATTTCTTATCAGGGACTCTAATTGAGTTATTAGAAGATTTTCCACTTAGCCTCATAAGAAAATATGAGTATTTCCAACACGACGGAGCTCCACCACATCGCAGGAGAATCTGCAGAGATATCCACAATACAACTATGCCAGGATGGTGGATAGGAAATAATGGTATTCAAAACAAATTTCAAAAATATTTAAGAATTGAAAGATTCAATAAGGAGTGCCTGCATCGCTATCACTCCACAGATGTTAGAGAACTACCACAAGCCCACTATTTCTAGAGCAAGTATTTGTTTAAGAAATGATGGAAGACAATTTGAACATTTGATGCGATATTGCGTGAGACGGTAACTCAAAAAATGTAACGTAAGACATTCCGTCACAGTGTTCGCTTTCTATCATTTATTATTTCGTTACATTTTCTTTCGCAACTTTCTTTTTTTCAATGTGATGTATTAACGATACTGTTAAATATGTGTTACAACAATAGTTTGTTGATATTTGATTTTTCATTGAATAAAAAAAGTCAAATGATAGAATATTGATGATGTGGTTTCAAGAAGAAACGTCGAGAAATACATATGTTGTGATATGTCAACGAATTTGTAATTATAATGACTACGAAAATGTATAAAAAAATATACAGGTCCGTATTTAAAAGACATATCGATGATGGAATTCATTGAATGAAACGTTGCATTGAAAAATGAGTTCACCCAGATTGTAAAGTACATGAAATAAAGCAAAAAGTTTTTTTGACACTTTTTGATATTATTGAAAATGGAGACGGTAGAGCAAAAAAATAAAATCTGTCATTTTCAGTTTTTTGCAAATATCTCAGAAACCGTTGATGATTTTATAGATCTGAAAATACCAGTGTGTTGCATCCCTAAATGGACAACTTTTGTTCCATTCAACGGTCTTTGTAGGATCTACCGTTTCCGAGATAGCAATAGTGGTATCAGCTAAAAAATACGGCCTGTATATAAATGCATAAATCATAATCTACAAAAAATCGCAAAACATACATGAGGTGATTTTTTTTATTACTTCGGACTTCCATTGTCTAATATGGTATCAATTGATTTGAAATCCCTGAAAGAATCTATAAAAATTAAAAAGATTAGCTAAAAAATAACATTATATTAAGGTAAAAAACTGAAATTGCAATGAAATAAAATACAAGCAACAATTGAAAATTGAACTATCAACAAGATAGGAAAATCAAAAATTAAGATTCCAATCCAGGTTACTACTGAAGTGAAATAATTTGGCTTGGAATCAACGGTGTTTCTAAATGTTTTCCAATAGATTCAATATTAAACGAACTATTTTTAAATTTTACATTATCAGTTTATGAATAAGATGATGTTATGAGTTAGGCTGAATCTGTTTTTGACCTAATACCTGTTCCTAATTATTCATTTCTCTGATTATTGAATTATGCCATCATATGCCATTATGCTACCAACCCAATACATAACACTTGCAGTTCTGCAACTTGATTACCTGATGTTACATATTATGCCTGGAAAATCTGGAACTGATTATCGTATTCTATTTTTTTTATGACAGAAATCTTCTTGAGAGATTTGAACCGTGATTCAATCGTAATTACTGAATTTGCCGTTTACTGTTAGTAATTTTCAATTTTTTGTTTTCGTATTTCATATTTCTAAGAGTCCCATGTATTTTCACAATACAGTGTAATTCAATTTATTGATTGATACGAATTGAGATGATGAATACAATTTTTCTCTAGATACAACAAATTACGACGTCGACTCCTCAGCTACGCCATCGCACGACCGCCGCCAACACTACCGCCGCCGCCACCCCCGACGACGAGAGCCCGTCCCTCGGCCACCAGTCGGAGGACGACGGCTACATGAGTATGAACGGCAGAAAAGCCAAATTCAACTTGGCGTTTAAGCCCCTAGCCGAGCATCACGAACCGCCCCTGATGAGGCCAGGCGACCCCGACGACTTCCCGCCTCCGCCGGAGGAGGCGCAAAGGTTAATAGCCACGTTGTTGCCAAAGTAAGTCTGTGATATCCTATTTTTTTCTCAAGTTTTCTTCAGACAAAAAAGAAAAAAGAAATCATACTTTTAATTTTTCTAAAGTTCGATTGTTTAAATGTCAAAATAGATTCTCATAAGAAAATATCGTTACGTCAATGCATGGATTACCAACTTATATAAATGTAGCGTTATTCACTCGAACTAATCTGCGCTATAATTCAAAGTGGCTCTTGTCCGACCAAGCGTCTTTATTTCGTTCAGGTTGGAGCCTGGCTCCCTTATCCTTTCAACTGATGTTTGTCAGAGAGACAAATGGGCCATGACTGGTGGTAAGATGGCGACATGAATGTTCTCAGAAGATCAGTGCCGCCCTTCACGGTGTACCCCTACCTGGCTGGGTTGTGATGGATGAAAATGTTCATCTTTTGACGGAGGACATAGGGGCCTCGTTCGACAGAGTGTCAGGGCCTTCTATATCGGGAGGGGTCGTCTACAGCATAATCCATAGCTTCCCTAACTAACGGATTATCATGGACAGCCGAATGGAAGGTAGCTGCAAATCTCTGCGGATGGCTTCATTTCACACGAACCAAGGAACATGTGTGGGTTTCAAGTGAGCCCGCGATCTATTAGAAGGCCGAGGTACTTTACCCGCGCTTGCCAGTTGATCTCCATTCCAGAGACCATCACTTTTCTAGCCGGAGAAGACTTCGTTCTTCCCATGGTTATCGCCTGAGTTTTTGCTGGATTCTTCCACTCAAGGTACCAGCGCTCGAAGTCGTCCAATGCACGTTGCATATAGACGATCCCGAGCTCTCGACCCATGGAAGATGAGAGGAGAGCCGTACCATCGGCGTAGAGAGACACCTTCGCAAGCTCGGACCTCGGGAGGTCGCTGGTGTAGAGCGAGTATAACGCCTTCGTGCCAGACACGGTCGAAGGCCTTCGAGATGTCCAAAAGGACTACGTGAACTGTTCTATTGTGGTTCTTGAATGGTATTTTCGACCAGTCTCAGGGCCTGTAACTCGGTGGAGTGGTCTCTCCTGAATCTGAATAGTTCGTTAGACAGAAAATTTCGGTCCTCAACTTCTTTAACATCAACTTCTTCGTTGAGCCTTTGCAGAACGACCCTTTCAGCCAACTTAGCCGCCGACGAAAGCAGACTAATCGGGCGGTAGTTCTGTGGGAACAGCTGGTTCTGACCCTGTTTCAGGAGCATGATGACGACCGCATGCTTCCACCTTCTGGGGAAGTATCTGAGGGCGAACGAACTGTTTATTAGATTTAGAAGGTTGTCGACACAGTTGTCTGGAAGCCCCTTCAATAACCTATTGGTTATTAAATCGGCCCCCGGAGCTTTCTTGGCCTTTGCGACCTTGATATACCCCTTCAGCTCTTCCACAGAAGCTGGACGGATGTTGTTATCATCATCCTCCTTGAGGATGCGGTGAACCCGATCTTCCAACAACATATCGCGGTCGATGTCATCGTTGTCGTCAACGTTAAGTTGAAACTGACGTTCCATCGTGTCAGCAAATGCCATCATTCACCGAGAGCCGAAACGTCCAACTGCCGCGTCGAGTTCGTCGGGAGAGCGGAGTGCCTCAGGAGGCTTGCGCATCTCTCTGAGATGGGCTGTGAAGGTGTTCCAATCTGTCGAAACGTCCAACTGCCGCGTCGAGTTCGTCGGGAGAGCGGAGTGCCTCAGGAGGCTTGCGCATCTCTCTGAGATGGGCTGTGAAGGTGTTCCAATCTGTCGATGATCTCACGCGATAATCAAGAGAAGAAAATTCATTACCCAATACCAGGATTACTGGATTATAATCGGAGTCCAGTTCCCGACAAAACGTAAATTTCGCCAGTCAGAGAGACTTTTCTGAGAAGCGCGATGTCTAGTACGTCAGGCCTATTCTGCCCGCGATAGAAAGTAGGCTCATCTGCACCCAGCACAAGATATTCATGCCTGTCGACATGTGCATAGAGCGCTTAACCGTTTCGATTTGTGGCTCTGCTTCATAGTCTGTGCTTGGCGTTGAAGTCGCCAGCAGCAATTGTCGTAATGTTGCTTCCCATCAGCAGTTCATTCAGTGATTCTGGGGTAAAAGTGATTGTTTAGAAGGTTGTAAACCGAGATTAGTCTGTGAAAACCTCTGCTCAGTTGAATTTCGACTCCTACGGCCTCAGTTCCGTGTAATCGGGCACTGTCAATGCCGTATTGAACACACTGAAGGAATCGTTTGGCAAAAACGCCAACTTCCCCTCCAGCACGTCCAACACGTTCTCTGTGGTAGAATCTGTAATTTGGAATGACAATGGATTCGTTCCTCAGATGTGTCTTTCGAACAAGAGCCACATCGATGTTATGTTCAATTAAAAAGTTCTCGAAAGCTTGTCTTTTGGAACGAATGCCATTTGCATTCCAAAAGACTATCTTCAGAGATCTAGGCAACGTTGGTTGTCTAGACATTGGCAGTTTCGGTTATCACGTCGGTGTTCACCGTGAACATTTTCTGTAGCACGGGGAATTGTACGAACAATTTTTTCATCTGGTCCAATGCGGCACAGATGTCTGAAATCCCCTGCGTCTGAGGTGAGGGTTCAGGTTGAGAAGGGGTGAGCTTTGCAATACTGCTGGCACCCTTGGATGCAGCCTTAGCAAAACTGACCTCCTCCTGGACGCGTCCAGACCCCATAGGTCTTCCTGAAGGGGCTGGCTTCCTGGCGGAAGATTTCCCTTTCTGTTGTACCTTTGGGTACACCGGGCAGCCGTGCCAACGGGTGGTAGAACTGTTACTTCTACCACTTCGTTAGCAGGCTGGGAAGGAGCTATATAGCCCTGTCGCCGAAGCTAGGATACTTGATTCCTAAGATTTTGGGCGGAAAAGGCGGCATGCGTTTCACACCACAGAGCATACAATCGCGCCAAGTACCCTCGCGCGGGCTCACTACTCTCGTAGCAATGCATAAGACTATCTCTTAGCTCATGCGTCCACTCAAAGCGTCCGTTGGAATTACCAGGGTTGTCATCGGTAGGCAAATCATCTTTATGGGCCCCACCACCTTACCTCTGATCCCTCCGAGCGGCTCGATTGTAGGGGTCCCTTCCTCGATTGCTAGGAACCAAGTGTTGGGTCCACCAGGTTAACCAAGTGACCTACGGACGGCACCGGAACGAGAATAGTGTTCTCCTTCCCGGGTGCGCCTGGGCTGCCGGTTCGGTTTTGCACCAGTTGCTCGGGTAAGTGGTGTCGCAACTCAACAAAGGCCAAGGGTGTTAGTGGCCATTATTATTATTATTACTCGGACCGAAATATCACCATTTCAAAGTGCAGGAAATAATCATTTTACACCTTGAGGTTGTCTCCGATTCAGGTATGGGAAACTGAATACAAAGGAAAAAAAGACAAGTACACTATAGTTTTCCACTTGGCATTCCAAAAAATTTTCTAAAATTTGGTTAATGTTGGTGAATTATTTTTCTATTTATCAAAGTACTTATTTGAAAATTTCAGGTCATAAAAAATATTCTTAGAAATATTAAAAAGCATGAGATACCTTCTGAAAATTTCCGAGAGAGCATTTTTGGTAATATTGGAGTGTAAACTGAATTCAGGTTCATGAATATTTCGAATTTTTTATATTCAATGAATTATTGTTATTCTTCTAAATAGTCCAAAATCCATTATGTAAGTTGTTAGGTACTTATTATCGTGCGAGAAATCTCGTAATATTGTTAAAAACATCTTGAATATTCAAATAGGCCGAAATGAAATTGAAGTACCTATGGTTTCTTGAGATCCGATTTTGTAACTCAGCTAACAACTACATTAGTGATAACATTCCAAAATGGGAAACATTTGGATCATTATATAATTCACTTACTACTTTTTCACCTTGAGCTGCGTATCTAACCCGTATCAAAACTTGGGATCAAAGAAACTTGAAGTTAAATAATCATTTTCATGACACAATGTAATAATATCCATTCTTTGGACTGATTCATCAATTGCTTCGGACACTTTCAATTTTTTTTCATGATTATGATAATAAAAACACAATTTCGACTTTTTGAAAAGATCTAATTCAATAAAAATGTATTGAAATATATGAGAAAAATATAAATTTGCAAAATATTTTTTTTTAGCTTAAAAGCTAAATACATAAAATATCACAAAGTTACACAATAGTGCACTCACAGCACTGTATCATATAATACAGGCACGCCACTGTGCATTCCTCACTCTTCACGTGATTTTTTATTTTTGTTTTGCCACCACCCTTACACATTCGAAATTTGTACTTTTTTTCTTTTTCTTTTCTCTTTTTTCCTGAGTTAGCGAGTTCTGCCATTGAAACCGTTTTATCTGGATCTGAATTCCTGAAAATAATCAATAGGTCAGGAATGGTAAGTCACTATCCAATCAACTGTCCACATTTTTTTAATTTGTACCTATGTGTAGCAAGTAATTATTTTTTCAGTTGGTTAAGTGTTATATTATAATTTCATTCACTTTAAATAAAATTATATGATTCAAAATACTGCAGCTTTTTCTAAAAGCTTAATCACTGGATTCGAGGCATATTATTTGCCCATTATTTACGATAAGGGTTGAATGAGGTTGATGATTTCTCTAATTTAATCAACCAAAATTTCAATTTGAATTGAGGAAGCATAATATCAAATTATATTCATTTCACCATCAACTTTTCAAATTGATTCAAAGCTTTTTATCTCTACTACACCAACCAATATTTCAATTATTTTAAGATGGGGGAAACATTTTTTGAAGCTTCACCACATTAAATCTTCTATACTTCGTTGGTTTCCAAAGGCCCAGTAAAGTATTCCCAAGAGCATTTTGTTAAGGTTTTTCAGTTCGTCGGCTATGATTTTTTAAATTTGAAATCAACAGGAACAACGACCACAGCATCAAAAATTAAATGGAACTCACAGACAGAATATCTACGACAAATGTCAATCCGAACACTAAACTGTACTCGTTCGACATAAAAAAAATGTACTCCAACATACCAGTCAACGAAAGTATAAACATCTGAGAACCTAAAACACCAAAACATAGACAAAACCTACATTAACCAAATGGAACACAGTCTAAATACAATACTTAATCAAAATTATTTCGAATCTGAAGGAAAAATTTATAAACAAACAGATGGACTAGCGATGGGATCCCCACTATCTAGCATTATATCCGAAATATACCTGCAAACCATATATGAGAAAATCTTAACAATAATAAAAACACATGATGAAAAAGGAGAATGGTTCAGATACGTTGACGATGGACTGTACATATCACAAAACAATGGAATAAGAATAGAACAAATAAAAAAAGAAATTAACGAAATAAATCAAAAACTATGTTTCAGCATTGAGGAAGAACACAACTCAAAACTTAACTACCTGGACATAACCATAGGATATAACCACAACAAAACACAATCTCAAATGGCAATATACAGGAAACCTACACAAACAAGCTCAACCATACCCGCAAGTTCAAACCATCCACCATCACACAAAATGGCTGCCTATAACGCATTCATATATAGAATGTTAAGGATACCACTCAACAATAAAGCCCGAAACAAAGAACGGAAAATCATATACCAAATAGCAAACGAAAACGGATACACTCAAAAGACAATAGATAAACTAGAAAACAGAATCAAACAAAAAATACAGAACAAGGATCAAGCCACCCCAACAGACAAAACAACACAACGATGGACAGCATTTACGTACGTAGGACACCAAACCAAAAAACTAACAAACATCTTCAAACCACTGAACATCAACATACAAGCCGAACACGAAGATAACACAAAAAATAAACAACTACGAAAAAGAAGAAGACAAAGACCAAAACGGGATATACAGTATACAATGGGACTGCAACAAATTCTATATCGGCCAAACCAAGAAAAAACTGATCCAAAGGAACAATGAACACAAAAAGGCATACATAAATCCAACAGTATATAAATCAAACCTTGCAACACACGCCATACAAAACAAACATAATTTCCCCCCACCAGAGAACATAAAACTAATAAAACAAATCAACAAGGGAAACCGCATGGACATTTGGGAAAACTTGAACATCCATAAATTTAACAGTCATAAATAACTTATCGAGGAACAAGTACAAATCAAAACACAACAAGATCTCACATTCAATATATAAATTTTTGTTTGTTAAAAATTTAACAAGATCAGAAAAATTGACTTCAACAATGTTCATTTTAGTTCAAAGTAATAAGATCTTCAATATTTGTCTTTTGGCACACACTATATGCATATTGAGTCAAAATATATTGTACTTTACTTATTTCCATGTTGAAAAAGTTATTTGATTTTGTTCGTTTACCGTTCTGTTAACGATCTTGTACAAATGAGAAGAAATATCATTATTTCACTACCATAAGCTAAACAAATTTTTGAAAATATATGTATTATACATAGCAGGCTCTACTGTAATCACGCTATAGTTTTTTTCATTCATACATCGAACTTAAGACAATAAATGTAGAATAAAAACCTACCTGCTATCATCGCACGAATTATTTGATAAAATCGAGGGACACAAAACCTTATCTTCCTCGTCTTTTTCCTTATCTTTTTCTACGGGAACAGCTGCTTGTACGAAACACGTATTTCCCACATTAGTGCTCTGGATGGCCACTTCCTTCGATGTTGTCGGTGCCACAAAAAGAATGATGTCGTTCCGATGAGACTGGGGGGAATCGCCCGACATTTCTTTCACTAATTCCGATTTTTTTATTTGACGTTTGAAATGTTCCTGATTGACATACCTGCGAATATGATTGACTAGTCCTATTCAACACGAAATGCGGGTAAAAACAGAAGTAGTAAAAAGATACTTGTTTTCATACCACATTTTATACGTCGCGGCAAAATCCAAAGTTGTCCAAGTTGAACAGTTACAGGTGGCGCCAATAACTATAACATATACCTAGTTCAGGGACGTCCTTAATTTTATGATTTCTAAAAATTTGAAATGAAAAACCGCCATAAAACCGCCATTTTATAGTGAAATTGAGGTTCATAAGTCGTGATTAGCCAAAAAAAAACTGAGAGAAAAACAAAAGGCAGTGACCCGGGCAAAAAAAAAATCAAAAACTAACTGGTTTGTTCCAGCCTGTAGTTACTCATAGATTTTTATTATTTAGTCAGCAAACTAATGCTAATTATTATCAATAGAAATTATTTCTGCCATAATATTAAAGTAGTCATGATAATAATTACAAATTTTCACAATAAAGATATCATATCCGACACATATTGAAAATAAATTCTATATTGTGAAAATTAGTAATTATTATCATGACGGATGTATTCAAAACATAATATTGAAGTTAATCAGTGTTTGTAACTGTTCGGTCTCAGAATCTTGCTATCGAAATTATTATTTTTTCAAGTGAATTGTGAATCTCAACTTTTCAATATTTAGCCCAGAGTCGCCAGCTCTAATATTTCTACAAGAAAGCAGATTGTTTTATTGTTATTTTTGTTAACTAATCTTGTTTGAGTTATTTAGTTTTTCATTATTCTCAAGACTCTCCCAATCGGGGTTTTCCAGTTGATCTTCTAGTGTATGGGTCTTTTCTAATCCACTTATCTTCATAAAATTCAATATTTTCTAATATATTTTCTCAAGCAACCCGTATATTTAAGTCTATTTTACGTAAATATTGTAAGCTACAAATAGCTAGAATTTCAATTCCTTAATTGTTCCTTGTGTCCCTTATCTTGGGAGTTACCCGCTATTATGACCTTTCCCACCTATGTTAATCCAAACCTCTCTCTATCCCTACAATGACCAATCTGACCCCCTTCTATAACTACCGATGTGAAACATTGCATTTGTAAAATTCATCATTTCGTTTGAAACCTTGTAAGAGTAAAGTTAAAATAAATCTTATCTTGCCTACAGTACATCTAGCCAGTTATTTTTCTTATCCTATCTTTTCACAAGAGTTTTTGTAATTCTTGTGTGCATTAAGCATTCATACTCACGATAAAATAATCGTGGATCAAAACAGTAACAAACGTTAAAATATTATTCATCCACAATGGAATTCAGTTTTTCTTTGAGATAAATCAGGTTTTCACAATAAATATACAGTTTCCTCAGTCCTCCGCAGATGTAACAACGCTTCTCCTTCAAAAATCACTTTTAGAAACGGATCTTAATAGCGAATCCCAGGTCTCCTCCAAAGTTGATTTCTCGGATAAAGTGAATTCCTTTAACTTTCCTTTCAATATCTCTGTAACATTATTTACACACTCAATGTCATAATATGTCGACCTGTAGATGGCAGGTTGAGTTGAAATGTCCGAAAGTGCTTTCTTGCTTTCTAATAATGATATGAGAAGATTATTTGACAACCTTGTGAATGAATTCATTAGTGAATCTAGGGAAATACTGTCAGAAGAAACGCACAAAAAGAAATTATGTTTTAGAGATTACCTACCTAAATCGAATATTCGATCGAAGAGTGACCCATGAAGCATCTGCAGGGTAACGTAAAGATGTGCGAAATGAAGATTCAGCTGAGTATCGATGTTGTTTACGGATGTCGCTCGAAAATTTTGACATGTTACTGGTCTTGTAGAACAAAGACCAAATCACTAATGAACATACAAGTTTGGGCAGGTAATCTACTTCAGAGGCAGAGGCGGTCTACTTGCTAAGCAGGCTAGGAGGCAACTTGCCTCTCATTTTGAAAAATAAAATTCACACAATACATGTTACCTGTTCCAGCTTACTTGCTTCAAGTTAGCAGCCCTTTTACTGGTTTCGTATGAACGCTGTTTTAACTTTTTCCACCCTACCAATGAATACCTGCGTTTAATCTAAAATTTCTTTCTAAAGCAAATGAACTTCAAACGTTCAAGCCAGCCCTCGACTAATTCAATTCAATTGCCGGACAGTTTTTTTGTTCCACTTTATCGTTCTTTCTCTTCCCCCTTTTCTCTGTTTTTCTACTTCTATGTCTTCCTTTCATCTTCTCTTCTATGGCTTCCTTTCATTTTCTCTTCTGTTCGTCCTGTTCTTCAGTTATTTTCATTTCTTGTTGATCGTCTTGTTGTTTTACCAGTTGCTTATTACTTTTGATTTTCAATCATTTTCCTTTCTTTCTCTTCTACTTTCCCTTTGATTCTTCTTACCTGTCATTGAAATTGTAGATTCATTAAATTCTTAAACGCAAGAATATCTATTGTCACCTTAACTATACACACCGAATCCAATGTACCCTTCTTTGTTCAGTACTAGTTATATCACCAGTGTTAACAATGTTACGCTTCTTTATTCTTCAAAAAGTGAAACACTTCACAAATTAACGATTACAGTCATTTTTTTTTTCGAAAATACAACTTGAAAACAATCTCACTTCAATATCACTTCAGTAGTTTACTTTGCTTGCCATCGCTATGGTCGCAGTGAGAATAAGAGCTATCCGTTCTCCGCATGCTAAAGCTCCCCATTTCCATCTTCTCTTGTTTCCCAATAATTCGTTCTCCGTACGGTATTTTTTCCTCGAGACTCAGTAGTAGAAACAGTCTTCCACAGTCCGTCAGGGCCGGCTTCAGTGATACATCTACCTTAAATTAATGATATAATTAATAGTAACGAATATATTAAAAATGTATTTAATAAATTCATTATATTAGTGTAGGAACTTTTGTGAAGTTGTTTGGGTGCCAAATAGAATAATACGGTAAATTGACATTGCGAATGGATTAAACGTCGATATTTCGAGAAATGAGTGATGAGTCGTGAAGGGAAAATTTACAGAACGCCGACAATTGATTAAGAACGATTAGTCTTTTATCGACCTTTTTTGGGTAATTGTTACCTTCCACAATCTGAAAAAATATAAAAATTATAATGGATAGTGGCGAAATGGCAACAAACTGATATCGGAGAGTACCTTGTATTACATCGAATGTTTCAGTTGTCAATCAACAACATTGACATAATTTCATATTTCAAAACTTCTTTGACATCTGTCGAAGAAGTAAAGAAATAAGCTATCAAAAAAGGAATGACTGCGTATATATTCGAATTTTTTTTTTATCCATTTCTGAAGACGGAGACAGATTTTGGCCTCCGAAATGTAAAAGATGAGTATTATTTCTTAATCATTTTTTTGATAGGCAAAATTGTTAAATACGACAAGTTACTGATAAATAGAAGATTTTTCTTTGTGAAAAATACTTTGATTTTTACGCAGTAACTTATCGGGGTAAACTAAAAAGTTTGCCCTTTTTCACTTGTATAAAGTTCTCCATTATAATTTTTATATTTTTTCAGATTGTGGAAGGTAACAATTACCCAAAGAAGGTCGATAAAAAACTGATTTTTTCTTCCACAAAAAATGACTTTCGTTTAAACGATTAGTCATTTTGATGCAGCGTGAACAATTCGATGAATAATGGCGAAAGCTCCATTGTTGTATAAAGAGGCGAGGTATTCGCACAGAAGGCAAGTTTGTGCCGAGTTGATATTAGTTCAGTATAAGTGGCAGGACATTTTAAACTAATAGTAATAGAGAACCACTTATCAAAGATTGCGAAAATTTCAATATTTTTTAAAATGTGACCGCTGAACAGCGAACTAAATATAACTTTTTTTTAATAAATTCAGAAGTCCTCAATGATAGCTTTCACTTGAAAGTAAGAGGACTGCAAACTCTCTCCATAAGAAATGAAAATAAATAATAGTAGAAAAATGTTGTATATTATTCGAAACATCAATTATTTCATAAGTTCACCGAACGTAAAGCCAGTTTTTTTAATCAGTTTATTTTTTTAAGGGTATCGCCAACCCATCGTCCCAAATCGCGGAACAGCAGTGGCGGAGGCATGAGGAACCATCGTTCGTTCCCGATGACGCAACTGCCTCCCAGGATGGACACAATTCCTCCACCACAAAGGTTCCAGAACGAATGCAACAATGTCGCCATCAACGGCCTACCGGACCCTATTCACACTGCCACGCAGACGACATTGGTAAGTACTTGATCAAACCCATTGAACAGTATCTATTTCTATTCTTGTTTTTTTTTATCAGATAATTCCATCAGATATAGATATATAAAAAACTTGTCAAGCTAACTTTGGTATCACACCAATAGGTGGTTACCCTTATGTCTCGCTTGCGTTTACGTAGTGATTTTCATCAAGTTCTCTTATTGGTTTTTCACATTGTGGAACCTTGTTTCGTGCGGAATGAATCCATCCGCAGAGATTTGCAGCTGCCTTCCATTCGGCAGTCCATTCAGTCGAGAAATCAGAGAGTTTTTGATGGTGCAGAAACTCATGAAAACCCATTAGTCAGGGAAGCTATGGAATATAGTGTAGACGACCCCTCCCGATATAGAAGGCCCCGACACTCTGTCGAATGAGGCCCATATGTCCTCCGTTAAAAGATGAACAATTTTTTCATCCAACCCACCCCAGCCAGGTAGGGGTACACCGTGAAGGGCGGTACTGATATCTGAGGACATTCATGCCGCCATACCATCAACACTCACCATCAGTTATGACCCGTTTGTCCTTCTGGCAAACATCAGTCCAAAGGGTAAGGGAGCCAGGCTCCAACTTGTTTGAAATCAAGACGACGTGCAGGTCACATTATGGAAAAGGCGATCGACTAGCAGGCGCGGGTAAAGTACCTCGGTCTTCTAATAGACCGTAGGCTCACCTGTAACTCGCACATTATGTACGTTAAATCAAAGATCGAGGGTCGGATAGCTAGTCTGCACCTTCTGATCAACAGAAGATCAAAAATTAGCCTAAAAACAAAATTACCATCTACAACACGATGTTCAAGCCTGTCATCATATATGCTTCAGGCGTCTGGGGACAAGCGGCTCCGTCTAACATATCCATCCTGAAGAGATTACAAAATAAGTTGATACGGATGACTGTGAATGCTCCGTAGTTCGTGCGGAATGAAGCTATCCGCAGAGATTTGCAGCTGCCTGTAGACTGTAGACGACCCCCCCCCGATATAGAAGGCCCCGACATGAACCCATTTATTTGTCTTTCTGACAAAAAACAGCTGCAAGGGTAGAAGCAGCTAGGCTCCAACCTCAGTATTTGTACTATTTGTTCATAAACATACAAGAAATTAAAAACAATATATTTGAGGGTGAATATGCGATGTGCATGACTGATGTTATGTAAAAGTGTAACTTTGAACATGAAATAAATACTATATAGAAACTATAATATTTCATATATTTTTATAATTCTTTTGGAACATCATCATCTACACTGTTCAACTTATTTCATTTTAATCATATTTATTATTTGTTCACATTTATTATCATTTTTGTTTATTTATTCAACGGGACAAGCCTAGTACAGAATATAAATAATTACAGATTGTGACATTTAGAAAGAAATAACATTAGAATTAGAATTTGAAAGAGATAACATTTCACAAGATAAAATAGTAAGATTTGCACATTAGCAATTAGATGAATAGCTTAAATAAGCATTATAAAACGTAAAATAAAAGAAAATATGGTTGCACTTAGGGGGAACTTTCAAAAAGAAATCCAAAATGTTTACGAGACAACATGCAGGATTAGACTAGTTTTGAACTCGAGCAATAAGAGGCTGAATAAATCCAATTGTTCTTGAGCATTTACGAGTCTTTGAATACGGGATAGACAGCTGTGGTGTCCATAGTTTGAGCGATGGAACGGGATAGAAACAGATTGGAGAAGTTTAGTGCTGCGTGGAGGTACTTGAAAATTAATCTTAGATAAAAGGTGGGGACATTTTGATTTACCAGTTATGATTTTGTAGAGGAATCGCAAATCTCTGTGTTTTCTCCTCAAAAATAATGGAAATAAATTAGTAAGTTGCACAGACTGTTGATGATCAAGGAATATATGAAGTTTGAAATTGGCGTTTTTTAGAAATCTGTGCTGAACTTGTTCAATATTTTGTGAGTGGATGTTGTAATAAGGGTTCCAAACAAGAGAACAGTACCTATTCGAGGTAAGGTCTGACCATAAAGTAGGTACAATATTGAAAAGGTTACGTTTGTGTTACATTTTTATAAAGTATTTTCAGTGCTTTATTTACTGTAAAACAAATATGTAAATTGTAATTCACCCAACTCTTTGATGTTAAGAACAGCATCTAAGATTACATTGTTGATCTGTAATCTATAATGATTGGTTTCTTGCAACTTGCAACGGTAGAATCTCATCAGGTGGCATTTATTGACGTTTATAAGCATAACGTTGAGTGACACCAGTTTGTAATGTGGTCGAGATCGGCTTGAATATTTAATGCATCGCTGGGACAAGCGATCTCGGAAAAAACATTTTCAGATCCTCAGCAAATAAGTGGGTTGATGAAAATATTGTAAAGCAGGGGGCCCAAGTGAGAACTCTGCGGAACACCCGTTGCTACCGCATTTTTGCTGGATTTAAAATTATGAACTTTTATGACTTGTGTTCTTTCATGTAGGTAATCTTCAATCCATTTTAGAAATGACCCTGATATATCACAGATACTTAAACTTAAGCTAAATATTCTCCTTTCCATAAACTTTGTAACTTACCTTATATGATAAATAATATTTGATTCATAGATGCACACAAAATTCCTAATTGTTTTTTGTCAGCAAGTGAATATTTTGAAGAAAAGAAAAAAAATTAAAAATGGATGATAAGTTCATTTATCTTTTATATCATAATTTATATTTGAGTTTTTTTTAACGTGAGGGTAGATTGCAAAAAAAATTAGACTGACAAATCTTAGAATACTAATAACTAATCATAATTTCATTACAACATCATGAAATCTAAAGATTCAATGTCACTATCAATGTCATTAGACAGACTATTATTTCGGGGAGGGGAAAATACATAAAGAATAGCACCCACAGTCCGTCGCTTATTTCTGATATGTACCGCTCTTGGTGGAACCAAATGTGCCAAGTCACTCGAACGTCTTCCGTGAAAGTATCTATAAAAGAGAGACACATCTCCAACTTTTCTTCGATGTTCCAGACCATCAAGGTCGCAAGTGATTTTCGCATCTCCAATCAGGCGGATAGCTCTTTTCTGGAATCCAGCAGCTTCAGGGTATGTTCCATACATGTGAGCAATACTCAAAAGAAGGTCTGATTTGAGCTCTATAAAGCATTAAAAGTTGCTGAGGTGTGTACAGTTTTCGGGTTCGAAAAAGAGTTTCAAGCTTTAGAGAGGCAACCTTTGCAATTCCAGCGACATGATTGTGTCAAGACATATGGTGTCAATTTTCACCCAACAAACGTATCAAAGCAGAAAACGGAATTGTCTGTCCTGATATTAGTATCCGGTTCGGAGACATTTATCATCGTGGAGAAAACTTGCCTAGGTTTTTGTGGCATTGAATTGAACTTGGTCATTTTTACCCCAATTCGAAATTACCTCTAGATCCTAATTAAGATGTGCATCATTCTGCTGCCGGTGATGATGTGCATCCGCTGCCGATATCCTGGAATCCAAATGTAATGACGAGACAAGTGTGCTGTCGTCAGCAAAGCAATATATTGGATTCTTGTTTTTTCAATAAGTCGTTGATATACAATAAAAAAGGGTTCAAGCCAAGTTTCTATTCCATTTTTCTGTAATACAACTGGGAAAATGTGAACAAATCTCATGAAATTTGTGGTGTGACACCTGCCTCAATACGCCACGGTCATCCACAATAAATTTTACTTCATTAAATCCAGCCATAATATCTTTCACAACAATTGAAATTAGGTTTATTTTCTGTTGCATACTCGTATTTTTTTACCTTTGAAATAAATAAAAAAACCTGAGACGAATATATCGTACATTTAGTCAGTTTTCCAATTGAATATGTAATGATTTGTAAACACTTGTCGGATCAAATATCGTTTTATTATTTCAAATATTCAACTTTTCGTTAATTCATGTTTATTTTTCTGAAGCCAAAAACAAAACATCAACGTCCATATGGTTGGGAAAACAACGATTTTACGTTGAATCCACCACCACCGCCCCCGGGTTACCGTTTCGGCAGCTTACCATATCAACATGGTATTTATCCGATCACATCACCCACTAGGATGCCTCCTAGGACCGTGCCTACAGCTTTAGAGCGTCATAGGGAAGTCAAAAGGTTAGTAGCAGAAAATATTGGAAAATGTTCTCTTTTACTATTGATTCTTTTCCAGAGTGAAAGTAATAGATATAAGCGCATTCGCACTAAAAACAAAATTATCTAATGATACTGCCGTTAATTGGATGCATCAGAATTACTCGGTTTTATCTTTTTTCAACTTTACACGACTACGTAGAGTATAAGACACCATCTTGGTAGGCCATAATGAACTTCTTAGTTTTCAACTTTAGCCCACTCTACCTGGAATTAATTGATAGTAGAAAAAAACATATTCAAAAGCAAGGGTTTTTTATTGGCGTGCATATAAAACTAGTTTGCCATATTGGATTTAGAGTGACGTCATGTTATTTTTCGTATTCTCTTCAGCAAACCCTTTCTTTTGATACCCATATCATGATATCATGGGAGTGATTAAAAAAGTTAGTCCGTTTTCTTGAGCGATGCGCCATATTGAAATTAGAGTAGCAACACGTTATTTTTTGTACGTTTTTCAGCAAATTCCATGATATTTATATCATAGGGTGCATAAAAAAACTAATCAATCATCTTGGTTGGTCCATCTAATTGGATGTAGAATGGAATCACTTCTCTTTTTCTTCCATTAACTTCTCGAATTAATTCCTATGAGATTTATATTACTGAACTCAATTTTTAGAAATGTTGTAGTTGAATTATTTCCAACAGAATTTTCATACTTTTTCAATAGTTTTCCCTAACTATATTTTCAAATAAATCTAATTTCCAAAGAAATCATTACTGCAATCAATATAGAAACATATATGCTTTTTTTTCCAAGACATGGAAGTGAAAACAACCTCTCAAGTGATCTAGATGACCCACCAGCCTTAAGACCTCTCAGTGAATTAGCAGATGACGAGCATTTCTCCGATGATTCATTAGAAGAAATGTTACCCCCGCCTCCTCCTCCAGCTTGTAATAAAAGAGCAAGCATCGCTTGGGAAGTGCCCTTAGATGATGACGCTCTGCTGACTCCAGGTAAATTAGATGTTCAGTTGTAAAGTCAAGAGAGTATAATTGTATTAATGAATCGAAATTATCTAGTTTTATGAAGATATTCAAATATTGACCAAAATGATAAATTCTTTGATAAAATATCTGTAACTGTATAACAGGTCCTCTTACAGGTAGTACTAAAGTAATTGGTAGAAGAAGAAGAAAATCCGGTTCATATTCTAGTACCAGTTCCATACCTAATAGGTTAAAAGAACTAGAAGATTGGCCTGATCCACCTCCTTGTACGACTGAGGATGAAGTTACTTCGCCTTTTTCGGACTCGGATGACCATCTTATGTTACCACCCGAATTGAACAGTGCAAATATATCAGGAAACAGCACTTATATCATAAGAAGGGGTAAGAATTTCCTTGCCTAACTTTCTTCATATAACATCTGCCATATACATCTCATCTCATCTTTAATCTCTCATCTCATCTCAACCTGTCATTCTTTTATCTCTCACCTCCTGTCAACCTGTCATTGCGATTGCCTAATAAGATTCTGAGATTAACCTCAATATATTTTCATGGGTCTGCTACCAAATGAAACATAATTTGGTCACTATTAGGGTATCTTTTGAGGTGGATCAAGGCAGGGCTCTCCAGAATAAATGCATCTGTTTGGTTTTTGTGTATTATTATAATATATTTTGTCTAAAAATGACTCCAAGAAGTAATAGTTCGGAAAATAAAATTGCAGATTATCGCATATTTCATTCATTTTTTGGCTTCAACAAGTTATCATCAAGTAATTTCTAAAATAATCTTGTCAGGTTCGAAGTGCAGTACAGAAATCCAAACAGATCCTATAAATTCATGAGTATCTTAAATCAGTAGCAGCTGCTTACTATCATTCCTCGAACTGGAAATTCTGCCAACTTTGTGCAAGCTTCCTTTGGTATCTGTTGAATTGTTGCAATTGTTGTATCATGGTATTAGTTATGTTTGGAATATTCTTTAGAGTTTTTATTGTCACATCTCCTACTGCCAGTAAAATAATTATCAATTTTCACAATCGTTTATCAGAAGAATGGCTACAGAGTTTAATCTTGGGATTGGGATTGTCTCTATGGAAGACAGTATAATCTGTTTAAGCTAGTTATGCTGGCAAGTGAAGTTGTGATCAAGTTTCTTTCAGTCTTTCCAAGTGTTTCTCATTAATTTTTCCTGTAATGTACAGTTCATTTCCCACTGATTGTCTGGACTTTGTTTCAACCTCCATGGACTTCTCTGTGTTTCTGAACCGCATCTTGTATTCAATGGAACTTCTAGTTATTATTTTACTAACACTAACTAAGCTAATTTCATTCAATTTCTAAACTAACCGATTTTCTTGCTTTCCGCTAATCTTACCGTTTATATCTCTTCTCTCATAACTTTTTTTGCATCTCCTATAGGAAATATCACTTTTTTTGTTTCTACTCTGATTATTCACTTCTCCCTTCTTGTTCTTTGAATTCATCTTGCTTTTTGTAGAGCTACTTATTTAGGAGTGTATTTGTTTTTGTTGTTTTCTTGTCCTTTCTCATTCTTCTTGTCCCTCTTTCGACTTTCAATTTGGTTTACTTTTCTTAAATTATCTCCGATTGTTTTCCTGCCAGCCTCTTATTTTCAAGAATTCTGATAGCATTTGCTGGCTCATATATCAACTGCTCCAGTTTCTTCTCTTCAGTACCACTTATCCCACTTCTATCACCAATAGTTATAATAGTTATATTGGTGACAGAGGTCTGGTGACAATATATCTATTGGCCCACACTTGATGAAACTCCATAATGTATTCAAGTAACACTTCATTATGATATTTCCACTGGACAGTTTACAAAACAGCTACTACCGCATTACGTGTTTCACCATACAATGGCTTTCTCAGGCGTTTCCATAGTATGAAATACGTGTTACGGTTAGCGATTTTGTAAACTGTTCAGTGAAAATCTCCCAATAAAGTGTTATTCATATAACTCTGACAAATATCTGTTTTGGTAAAAGCGCAATTCTTGTATATGTCACTAATCTTCCTTCACCTTACCTAATTAGATAAGTTCATTGTTCTGTTCCCTACTCGACTCAAACATGCAATAATAGTGCCTATCCATAAGAAAAATGACAAGTACTCGGTTTCCAATTACAGAGGAAATGCGTTACTATCTGCATTTTCCAACATATTCGAGAAAACTCATTAAAGAAGACTCTTCCCTTTTTCCAAGAAGTATAAAATCATCCCAGACTGTTAATATGGCTTCCAAATTGGCAAGTCCACTCAGGATGCCACGATGAATTTAGTCAATGAAGTCATTTCTAATCTCGATAGAGGTTCTTGTCACGAGCTTTCGACACTGTTGATCACGATTTACTTTTGAGCAAGCTGTTTTATCTAGGAATTCGTGGCTCATCTCTGGATTGGTTGAGATCTTATCTGGATTGCAGAACGCAAACTGTGAGGGTTAAACTGGAGGCTGGGACCTTCCACTCTAGAACCTGTGTCGTTCCCACCAGTGTTCCCCAGGGTAGCGTCCTAGGACCTATTCTCTTTTTTTTATTCGTACATGACCTCAACAACAGTAATTGTCTATATTGTACAGTGCAATGTGCCGACGATTCTTCGTTCACTCTGAAGTCTTCAGATTATGAGGGATTGTCGAGTCAGGCCAATCAAGCAGTTGCTAATATGCAAAAATATTGTTCTCAAAATGGTCTCATTCTGAACAGCTCAAAAACTAATACAATCGACTTTTCACTACATGAGAATGATCGCAGTGTTCTGCTAAAAATAAATGGCAAGTCAATACAACAAACCTCATCTGTAAAATTTTTAGGTTTGAACATCGATGCTCAACTCTCTTGGAACAAGCACATTAATTATATTTTGAGTAAAATGTCGAAACATTGTTTTGTAATTCGTAATCTCCGTAATTTTGTTCCATTGAATATATTGAAGAGCTCTATTACTATGCTTATATTCAATCTTCATTCAGTTATTGTCTGATCAACTTTGGTAACTGTATAAGAATAAACGAATTACTAATAGCTCAAAAAAAGATAGTGAGAACAATGTGTTTCAAAAAATATGATGACTCATGTAGGGAGCTGTGTACCGATTTGGATATTCTAAGTATTATTTCACTATATATATTCAACTGTGTTGTTATGTCAAAACTCATCTCGACAAATTTGAATCAAGAGATAATCTTCGGCTCGCCACAGAATATACGTTAAGATCTAACTATAATTTTATTATTTCCCACCATAAATTGACGAAAGCAGCAAACGGCCCTCAAATTATGCCCATCAAGTTATACAACAAACTACCTATCTCTCTTAAACAGCTATCAAACCTGCATTCCTTCAAAAAAAATGTTTGAAAACTGTTACTTGTCAATACATTTTATTTCCTCAATGAATATTTCCAGGCTGATTTGGAAATATTAATAACTTGATTGTAACAGTTTAGAGTGTACTATTTTCAATTGTCATATTTTTCCGTTTCATTAATTGACTTTTTCCATGCTGTAGAGTCTCTGGAAATAAACTGATTTGATTTGATTTGAAACATATTTCATTTACTGTATTTGCCTACCATAAGCATAAGCAAAGATTTGTTCAGAGAATTCCAAAAAATGTTTAAATGAGAAATTGTAATTTCATCACTTCCATTTGATGAAAGTTTTTGATAATATGAATCTCACATTTATTTCTAAAAAACTAGTGCATCAAACAAAACAACTTTCACTATCTGTCTTGCCTTATCTTTTTTAAAGATCTGTAGGTTCTAAGAGAAATGGATAAGCTTTCCAGACTCTCCTCAATAAGGTCTATTGAAAAATGATATATCGTTGAAGTTTGTAGGATCAATTTTCATTCTTTCATATGTACTGTGATGAAGGATCTCTCACCAAAAACAGTGCTATTCCAGTGAATTTCACTTTTTTTAGCACTAAATTCTGTTACAGTGTGATCACTTATATTGTTGCAGTGAGACAAATATCACAATTCCTATCCGATTATAATTTAATTTTTTCTTTCCTTACAGGAAAGAAAGATCGAAAAACACTACAGAACGTCGGCAGCTCTTTAACCTCAAACTCCTCTCTGAACTCTCGCCTCAGTTCAGAACTCAGCATACCAACGAGCAGATTCAGTATGGACCTCAACGCCCGCCTGAGTCGTGATCTCCAAACACCAAACTCTAGGTACAGCGTCGATCTGAGTACCCCCCACTCCCGCCTCAGTCAAGAACTGAATTCTCCAAAGTCTAGATTCAGTTTAGATTTGAACAATTCGAGAATTCTGAGCCAGGAATTGAGCTCTTCGCCGTCAAGGTTGAGCATAGACTTGTCTAGCAGCACAAGGTGAATATAAGATGTCTTTGTTAGCTTATTGAATAATACTAGAACTTCATTTCATTATTAATATACATGAGAAATATATCATAAAGAATATAATGAAGCTATGAAGTTCACACTGAAAAAATTGTATAAATTGTATAAATTGCACCAGTCAATATATTTTCTAAAAACATCAAAGAAACTTTCCTACTCTAATGGAGGTCATAAATAACAGTTTATATTGAAGAGAGAAATGAAAATTTCTATGTTTTTTACCACTTTTATTTGTAACTAATGTTACTGCAGTTTCATCTTATATGGCCATTCTCAAACAAACTTATACAGTAAACTTTTATTGTATAAGTTTGAGAATGTCCATATGGGACGAAACTGCAGTAATAAAAGTTTATTGTATAAGTTTGTTTGAGAATGTCCATATAGGACGAAACTGCAGTAACGTTAGTTACAAATAAAAGTGGTGAAAAACATAGAAATTTTCATTTCTCTTTTTATTATGATCTCCTACCACGTAGTAACGGCTACATCCATCAATTTAACTGTTTATATTTTCATATAATTGTACCAGAATATATCCTGTCTAAAGGTTGTTGATTACTTATATACAAGACAACAAAACAAACATTTTCAACAAATATAAAGTAGAAAACAATAGTTTAGACTGTTTGGAGCATGTGGAGAGCTACTGCTGGAGAAGGAATGTAAACAACTGCTCAGAAGGTAGACGAAAAATTATATATTCTTGTCAATTTATAATTCAACAGTTCTCTTCTAATATTCATTCAAATTATCCATATATATATATATTCAGATAAAATTATATATAGTTTATGTTTTTCACTATATGTTTCAGGTCAAGTACTCCAAGCAAACACTGTAACGACATGAAAAAGCATAGCACCACCTTCGATAACATAAAATCTTTAATGCGCGAGGGAATAATCCAAAACTTGGACTCTCCGAAGGAGGAGTGTACTGCAGATTTGAATCCAGCCACATCTCCCATAGTACGAGTAGTATCTCTCCCTAGCTTGGACGCCGACGAGTTCACTCCTAGACGTGAGTTGGATGTAACAGTAGAAGAAGAAGAAGAAGTTGAGAGTTCGCAGCCTAGTGCTGAGATTTCACCATTGAGAAAAATCGAACAGAGCATCAGTGAGCTGTTGGAGAGGCGAGATATTGAGGTTGTACAAAATGAACAGTTTGTGTTGAACGGCGTGGAAAATCTGAATAAGGACAAGAGGAAAGCTCCGTCCAAACCTACTCGTGAAATGAGACATAAAAATGATTTGCAGAAGTCGAGTAGTCACAATGAGATACAGAAGTCAGAGGAGTATTATAGGCAACTTTTGATGGAAGGTAAGGGTAATCAGTCATTTAAAAATCTACATACTGTTACTACTCAGCAACGACTGATAGTCGAAGTTACATTGAAATTTCTGAAAAAACAATAAAGTAGCAAATAAATTGTTAGGTGAAAGTCAGCTGTCAAAAAAGTTTCTGCATCAACACAGTGGATAAATTAACGTGTCATTTTGGAAATGTTGGTTTCAGTATAACCTTCTAGACTCCAATAGAAACAATTTTCCCACACACCAGAACTGCAACACTTTTCTCGATGCGCGATTCACTAACCAGGTTGACATTATTAAGAGATGGAATACACTGAACAAAACAGTATAGTAAACAGTTGAAAGTGTGAGGGCAATGTTTCTATTAAATTCATTCTACGCCAAAAGTTCCAGTTTTAGATTTCAACGTAGAAGAATCTAATTGTACCAATATCACATTCAAATCATGAATATAACGTTAATAATTTGTCTAATATTCATTACACAAATTTTTGTCAGTCATCTAATTCTCAGTTGATAATACAAGAGATACTTTACCCAATTGTGTTATGAAGAGTGTTGGACATTACCTGGGTCTACCTCTCGCGCATGAAGCATTCAAAAATAATGTTTCTAGTTAGTTCATTTCTGATTAGAAAATGTGCCATATAGAGTTAACACAATATAGAAACGGAGAAAAAACAGTTAGTACTCGGGTGGTAGATTAAATGTTAGCTGCTTGTACGAACATGTCTTAAAAGAAAATATTTTCAGCGATTCTTTTTCAGTTGAAAATCTGTCAGATGATATTTTATGCAATACTTCAAATAATAAAAATCGTCAGCTGAGTCAGATTTCTAATCGAAAATTCTTTATATCGGACCTCACAAACCGAACCGCTTGTTCATCAAATTTGAGAATAAATCACAAATTTCTTTATCTGATTATATGAAGCAAAGTTCATTACTTTTAAAATTAACATTAATCATTGTTATGAATTAGTAGGTGGTAGAAAAACTGGCCTCATTTCCATAATCATCATCATCATAAATCAGATTTCCTGTAAGAACTATTTAAACAGAATACATCTTCACCTGAAATGATTTATTTTATAAATATATAATATCCCACCGATCATCAACTAAACCAACTAAATGACTGTTGTATGGTCTAACTTATTTCAAATGTAAACAAACTCTATATAACCCTTCATTACCCGCCACCCCCCCTCGCCAATAAGTTGTACAGAAAAGATTAGTACGATACCCGGTTCAAAACACATGTATTGTATTGGTATAGACATGGCAACTCTATGTCATATTATTACTCTGAGATTTCTACTAACGCTCAATCAGAATCAGATTTTTTTTAAAAAAGTTAAAGGTATATAGTAATAATAATAATGATCACTTACCCGACTTACCCGTGTTAGAAATCACACGTTAAAAGGTAAGACCTCGTTAATCCTTAGCTCGCACAAGTTTCGACTTTTGAGGGTTATCGTTCGTAGGGGTGCGACAGCTGGTTAACGGAAAAACAGATTTTAAACAGATTTTTAAACCCGACGTTGTGGGAAGTGGTCGTTGGTTGATAATGCTGATAATGTTGGTTGCTCCGAATGTATCGGGGCTTAGAAGATAGGGCCAGACCAGCGGTAACTTAGGGTAAAAAGGTACATTGTGTAGGATTAGTTATTAAAGTCCTTGAAAATAAAACTAAAATAAGTACACTATATACTAAGAGTAACACATTCATTGAAATTTTTATTTTGTTATTCAATCACTTCCTGAAGAGAGTAATAGTTTTTCTCTAGTAGGAGAGACTTAAGTATAATTTAGAAGCTGTGGATAGTACAAGAGTTTTTCAGTTCAAGCGGTAGCAAATTGAATAACCTGAGTCTGTCTTACACATAGTATTGATAGAATCAACTTCCATTTCTCATGAAACAGTTACGTTATCACATTTGAAAACACCTAATTTGAATATATACAGGCATAGCAATGTTAGTATTTTCAAATTTTTAAAAAGGCTTTTACAGTTTGTATTTCTTTTGACTCCTGCTATTCATTTAACAATAATCTTGTGAGCGACAAAAACATCTTTGCATAAGGAGGATGCTCCCCAAAAAGTAATACCATACCGAAGACGGGATTGGACTTGAGTATGATACAGCATAATCAGCTGTTTCTGGTCTAGAATATGATGAAGCTTCTGAGACAATAACGCATGGAATTCATTTTTGATACCACTGTTCCACGATGAGTTTTCCATCTGAGAAATTCATCAAAGTGTACACCTGTTTGAGTAGATCAAAGCTATCAAGATGAATGTAGTCATATCATCTGTTTCTCATGACGTTTTTTGGATCTGGTTTTTTTTCTCCCTACAAGTACTTGGTCAGAACACGTTTTGGATAATTATTATGCTCCTTTTCTTGTGGTTATTAACTGAGACTTCACGACAGGAATGTTACACTATTTTCAAAGCCCTCATAAGAGATGATGGAAAATTATGTAGCAGAGGTAGCTGTTAAACGATTTCTTATCATTTTTCCAAATATTTTCCCAATCGTCTCTGAAATTAATATTTTGTTCAATATTTGTTTTTCATTTCTTCAAATAATGAACTTTGTTTGATTTATCTTTAAGATGTAATCTGCCAAATTCCTTTGTTAGTGTCACACTGATTTATTTAAATTTTAAACATCTCCCATCAAACATCGTACTTTTCAACGTGCAGTTCCTAGCACCAAAGCAATGCAGTTAAACATGTTTTATATTTTTTACTTTGGAGTGATTGTTACGTTCTTCCTTCGTAAAAATCCTGGAATATGTTCGGTGTTAGTATTGTATCATATGCTTCATTCAATAAATCATATTTTGTTTGTGTATGTTATTAGTTTTCTAATGTTTTAGCTATTATCAGCTTTTATTATTTAAATGGTTTACTATTTTTTCAGCTGGTAATCCGTTTCCCAAGCGAAATGGCATCCAAAAATCAGAAAGTGCCAAAGAGATGCTCATCGCCCATCGCGAACCTCGACCTTTACCGACCTCCACGTCTGCGGACTTTCCCGTTCGGGTGGAGGTGTTGCAGCATGACTTTCCTCCGTTGCCACCCTCGCCTGTCGAAGAAGACGAGGACGAGTATACGGAGATCCTCCATCCGGTCATGAAAACAAGAGCCGACACGCTGCCAATCAGTAATGAACAACCTGTAGTGCCTCCACATCGAGAACCCATTTCAAATAGTCTTAAGACAAGATCGATGGATGTTAATTATAATAGAGGTGAGTTTGGAAAACGGATGAAAAATTCTGTGTTATATAATTATGTACTGTTTTTTCAACATAGAGTTTTTGTTTAAATGTTTTCTTATAATAAGGAATGTAACTTATGATGAATTATGTGGTATGAAACAGAACAAAGGGGAAATTTGAAATATTAAAGTACAAAATATTAAAATATAGAAACCTTTCAACAACAAGGATTCATAAATATTTACAATAATATTCCCAAGCAAATCCTTTTCTAAGAATTAGTAATGGCGACTGTAAGAAAGTGCCATCTAATAATATTTTGACGTGATAAATTCAACAATGATTTGATAAATGCTCCAGAAATCACCATAAGTAGTAAAGGTTACACAACCATTCAGATATGATTTGAAGCATATTAACAAGATAATAGGTATGTGAAAATAACTCGAAATGAAAATTCATTATTTTAAAAGATCACACTATATTTTGGAATGTAACAATATAATTCAAAGGAGGAATTATAATTCAAATCGTTTCATGCTAAAGAAATGTGCCAAATGGTTCCTTAGCAAAGCATTTAAGAATGTTCATCGAGACATATATTTTGAGCATATGCACACATTGAAACTCACAAATATTTCATATTTGGAAGCACTTGATTGGAGTATATGAATCATTTTCAGAAGGGGAAACTACCACCCAGTAGTAAATATAAATATCTTGGCCAAAATTTTTGAAGTTGTACTATATAACGAATGACATATGTAACTATTTTTAAACTAAATTTAGCACTTCCACATGTTTTTTTTTCAGGACAGATCCACAGTAACGAATCTGTACATTTTTCTAAGCTTACATACAATTCAATATTAAATAAAAAGCAACTAAATGTTATCTATATTTTTAATGAAGTACATCGTAAAAATCTCCTACCAATCCTTGTTGAGAACTTCAGTTTCACAGAAGAAGCACATACATTTATGAAATCTTTCTTGGGGCAAAGGATACATGAGTCAAAGTAGGGAATTCTTGATTTGACAGATAAGACGTCCCTCAGGGTTGTATTTTGGGTCCTTTGTTTTTTCTTCTTCACAGATAACAAACCTGTAGGATATTCTGTCTGGAAGGTTTTCCACAGGTTTGTTATTTGCAAGTGACTTGAACATAATTTTTTTAATGAAATTGTTGAATGGCTCAGTAAGAATAATATGAAAATGAATATTGACAAGTGTTCAGTTATGACATATGCTTCGTTACTTTTCAATAAAATTTCAGTTTTATCTAACACTGTCAGCTTGTCACTGCAAATGTGTTCAAGGTTCTTGATTTGGGATATGGAATCCTAATAATGATTGTGCTTCTGATCTCATTGAAAAGGTTCATAAGAGATTATCAAGATTTTTATATACGAAAATTTTTAATATATATCAAATAAAACTTTACTGAATACTTTTGACATGGAAAGACTGAGTAAATGAAAAGATAGACAGATTATATTTATTCATTGTATAAGTTATAATAACAAGTTCAGAAACTGTTATCTAATAAACTATATTCGTTTATGTATTTTATGTTCCAAAGATTAGTGTAAGATTACAAGTCAACTCTACATTCTTTAACGACCAACGTTCAAGTTCTCCTCTCAATAGAACGATGAAAAATGTTAGGTATATGCTCAATCAAAGATTGAGTCCGATTTTTTTCCAATATTAGTGCAAAACAACTTCATGTATTGTTGAAATCCCAGATTTTTAACTGTTGACTGTAATTGTTGATAATTTTTAATTTAGTTTACTGTAGTGTTATGATGTAGTGACTAGGTTGTAGGATTTACCTTTATCTGTTATCACTTGTCTGATATGTGTGTGAGGATGATTCAAATAAAGAAATAAATATGACCAATTACAACTAAAAGAAAATTGATACAGCCAAAGTCTATGCTTCTACCATTATCACCAGAGGAAAAGACATTTCCTCGCAGCTAAATTTGCAATTCAATCGTATCACTGGATTTAATCATTTGATGGTATTTGCCCTAAAAATATTACCTAATTTCAGTATCATAAGTACTTGTTTCATGCAAAAAACACACAGATACCCCAAACACTTTTATAAAATACATCTTATTAAGTATTCTTTCACATACACTTTGCTCTGTATGTCTGGCAGAAGTCACTTTAATGAAATGAATAAAAACCACTAGTTGACTTTATTCATACGACCGGTTTCGGGTTTGACCCCATTATCAAGTATAAAACTGGGGAAATGCCGTGAAACCCGAATCCGGTCGTATAAATAAAATCAACTAGTGGTAATTAGACAAAAGTATTTTTATTCTTTTCATTAAAGTGATTATGAATTACCACAAAATAAACAAGTCATCAATGACACATATCTGGCAGGAGTTTCAATTGGGGGTATAAAAAACAAAGTCTAGAAAGCCTTATAAAGATTTTCATTTTTCTATTTTCAATCGACAATTTCGATTGAAAACACTTCTGCGGCTCCTCAGTGGAAGAATTTGAAATGATTTGAACAATTTTTTGAAATAAAATTGTATCTCGAAACTTGATGATAATCCATAACTTATTTAAAGTGTTACATCTAATGAAATTGTCAGATTTTTGTCTTATTAATTTGTACATATAAAAATTGAATTTATATACTTGGATATATAGATATTATATTTATGAAAAGGCCATTTCAGAGAAATTATTGCTCAGAAAAAAGTTTCCTTTCCATTCATTAAAATAAACTTGACAGGAAAGAATGAAAAAGTCAATGTATACAAAGGGATGCAAATAAAAAATAAAGGAAGTAAATATAAAACTTTTTCATCTCAAGTAAATTTAAGATTAACTCAATCCACTTTTTCATTTTTCAGGTAGAAGAAGTAATTTTTTCACGTCTTCGAACAGAAACATTCCCCCCGAACGTCGAACGCTTCCCACAGATATCCAGGACAAGCGACGACCATATCAAAAAAGGGCGTCGCAGAGCCCCCAGGAGGAGCATCATTTGCAGACTTCGTGTAGTCTGCCTGAAACTCCAATTTTTGCCAGAGGTTGTGATATTCCAAGAACTCCACATCGGAGAGCGCCTGACGTGCCTGGTGGAAATCAAACTGCACCAAGGCAAAGTAACACAATAGGTAAGTATCAAGCTATTTTAAGCTAAAACTTGTTTGTTTCACTACTGAAAATTTGCTTGTTTCACTACTGAAAATTTGCGTATCTACCATCTTAGGTTGAGGTTAAGAAATTCATGTGTTTTTCAAACCAACTCATTTTTACCAATACAATGTAGGCCTTAACTTCAAGAGTTCTCATTGCTGCAACCGGTTTCAATCTTTAAAAGGTACTAATAACTTTTTTTCTATTGTATTGTACCCTAGTAGTTTTTTGTTTAAAAATATTGCACTTTAGAATATGATTTTTGTTTATCACAATTCTAGGGCAAATATTATTAGGTATGTCATCATAAATCAGATTGTTCATTGGTTTTAATAATTCCATACTTTTTGTCAGAGAAATATCATAAATATTTAGTCTAATAGATAAGACTACCAAAGATAATCTTTAAAATATATTTTGACTAAATATATACAAACTATGGTTAGACAGTGCTTATTACGTCATTGACATAGTGTTCCATAAACCTTACTAAACGCTGAAATAAGGTTCTTGCAATACTCTGCCATTAGGCGGATAGGGCTTTTAACATGCCAGTAAGAACCTTATTTGACAATGCACCAAGGTTCATGGAACACCATCATATATGAAGTAAATATAGTGGATATTTTTATACACAAAAGTGCTTCGGTCCTGATATAAAAAAAACTGAGTCACAAAACGACGAAAATTCAAAATATATTTTATAGCCTGTGTTGCCACGAGTTTCAAAAGAATTGCTATGTGATCATTCAGCCTAATCCAGGCATAAAAACTAATGCAGCTGTAATGTTCCTGAGAATAATAAACATAATCAAAACTACAAAAAAGGGGCAAACTGCGGACACGTGTTTCTGGCTATTGGCCTTACCAGCGGTGCAGCCAAGTGTAAATATGGGCAACACTTGTTTGCCGAAAGAGAAAACAACACATACGTACGGAGTCAACAACAGGAGCCAACCGTACATTTGTGGTTTCAGTTAGAAGACCTAGAATTCCCAGGCTACATTTAACTTGACCACGTAGGCAGCTATAGCTACCTGCATGACATCCGGGTCCAGGATATAAACAAAGATATAGATGCTATCGAGTGTGTATGATATAAATCAAAACTGAAACAATTCGTGGACACAACACTTCAAAAAAGGGGCAAACCCCGGACACGTGTTTCTGGCTATTGGCCGTAGGTGTTGTTTCCTATTTTCGGCAAACAAGTGTTGCCCATCTTTGCACCGCGCTGATGAGGCCAATAGCCAGAAAAACGTATCCACGGATTGTCACTTTTTTGAAGTGTTATGTCCACGAATTGTTTCACTTTTGATTTATATCATACACCCTCGATAACATCTATGGAAATTCGATGTGCGAATGTAGCTCGTACTGTATGTTATAAGATATTCTGTGGGTTTATTCTGATATTGTTGTGCACTTGATAAAAGCTGTTATTTGGACTACATAATATTTGTAGTTATGAAAACACAGGCATGGAACCTATGTTATAGACGATAGAAGCTACATCTACTTTTGTAGCTTCTTAACAGAATGAGCCTGCTGTTTTTAATACGTATTTGTTTTGTGCCACAGTTATGAACGAAGTAAATCATTAATATATTTCAAAAATAACTAGGTATAATGAATAACAAGAGTTTTAAGAAAAGCCACAGATGAAATATATCAATTGTTGAGAGTAGTGAAAGGTATATAACTCAGGTCATGGCTATGACTGATGTATTCCATGAATTGTGATTACAGATGAATAAAGAATCGTACTGTTGAGATATCACAGTTGACTTAACAGAGAAAAGATTTTTAAATTCAAAAAGTAGATAAAATTTGTTTAATGCTCTCAATAAAAACAAAGATTATAATATGCAAAATACACACTTACATTACCTAAAAATAAGGTTTACTAAATACATTGAATTATTTCAAAAGAAACTGAAGAATATTCTGTTTAGGGGAGATTAGTTTGCTTCATATCCTGAAGACTTCCACTTGGTTAGTGAAACGCGCGTCTATAAGAGTTTTGTAGTTCTTTTCTTCAGGAAAAGTGCTTGTTTTGGAATTAGCAACAGTGTTTTTCATGTAATAGAAATCTCAATGACTTTCACTTTGGAAAGTTCACCAAAAATAATTTCATATCCCTGTTTAACAAATCATGAAAATGACATAACCAAAACAAATAAAAAGATCAGGCTGATATTGTCTTTGAATTGTAAGCTCCTGCGATGATAATCTCAAGTCATTCACAACGAGGTGGTAGGCTATTCATGAAAATCCACCAGTTTTTCATCGTAATAGATCTGGTGTACACTGATTGGTTACATTGATAGATATACAAAAGCGTTGTCGTCAACTGGATGAAGTAATCGATGAATTCATGAAGTAAGAGACGTCAATCTATGTTCACCAATGCACAAAAAGTCGATTTTGAAAACCTGCCCATAGTTTGAATGGTCCTTGATGAATAGGTTAGGACTACCATTGCCTAAAAAAGTTGTGACAGATTTGAGAGAAAAAAAGAGAAGAGAATATTAAAAATATTTCAAACCAAGCTACAACACAAGGTTTTGACTGTGAGTTTCCACGATAGTCTTTGACTGATACTTGAAGAGGAGCAGAATCATCATGATATATTTTAGTGCAGATTCTGTACGACTATATTGATGGCAAAAAAAAGAACAAGAACACATGTCTGATCAACCCCAGCAATATCTCAGATATTATGTTAACAATTTCACAATAAGTCAACAAAATGTAGACTTAATCATTGATTTGTGGCTACATGGTAACTATTAAATATATTTACTGTAGTTGGAAAATTCGACTCAAGTATCTAAATGTAAAACTTGATGTTTCTTCATTTGCCAAAATTATATCAACCATGAGATTTGTCAAATGTCTACCATGTCACCGATTGAATCTAGTATTTTCAGCAGCAATGTTTTGCCCCTTTAATGATTACACACTCGATATATTCTAGGTAGCCTCAACACCATTGGCACAACTTCTTCGGGCTACCGTCGCGGTCTCTCCCAAACGGGTCTCGAACAAGCCATCGTCGGAGCAGAGCTTCTTCGACTTGCGGGAGGCCCAGGACGAGGCTGGTACCCCAAGCAGAGGCATCGAAGGCCGGCGTCCATCGAACATTTGGATCGGACGGCAACGGGACACAATCCGTGGGAGACCTCGTCGAATAGGAAACCGTTAACATTACCCCCGAACCTCACCCCCAAGTTTTTCCATAGGTCACCTAGAGACGCATTGAGAAGAGTGACAAGTTTGCTGATTAAAAAAGGTTGGTTTCTAGGTTTTTAATTATAATTATGGGGTTATTATAGTGGGGATTGTAAAGTAGAGTATTTTTCAAGACTCTGGGGTACCTAAAAAAAGGGGGACGGTGGTGAGGAATAACATTGGCATATTTGATATCCAGGTTGGCATATGTGACATAAACCATATTGTAGATGTCCACCAAAAATCAATAAAAAACAATATTAATATGCACACCAATTTGGTTATTCCTGTGAATGACATCTTGCTAAGGCACAAATAAATAGTTATGAACAATCACCGTAGACCTCAAATAATCCCTTACTCCCATAATTTACTACAAACTGCTACTCAAACTAAGATTGACTACTCCGTACATTTTTAAAAAACATCTGCAAAGTATTTTTTTCAAATTTGCTAAGTACATTCGAATAACAATAACAATAAAACAATAAAAGAGCGAACACATTTTTGTTCAACAAAGGTCTTATTATCAGTCAATCTTGTCACATCAAGGGCAAACAAAGCAATAAGTTTGAAACCGTTTTCGTACAAAGGACAAGAGTTTTCATCAATACCATCCATGGAAAAAAGAAACTCATGAACCGATTCATCACAATTTTTCCAATGCAAACTTCAGATCCTCTTATTATGGATCCTGAAATGTTTGTTTTTTTCTTAAGTATATCAGAATTTTTTTTCTATTGGGCATCCAATTTTTTAATTTTAAATCCGCAATAAAAAATTCATATGAAAATATCAATAACAAAATGATTTATTTAGAAGGACATTTTTTCATCGGAAAAAATATCGATATTCAAGTTCAAGTTACACAGTACTTAACTGTATACTCTGTGTCCAAGATAAAGAGGGCCAGCATGAGAAAATCGGAAGCAGTGTCGTTACAAAGTCGTTAAATAAAATATAACTTTTAAAAAAATTAAGTGCTCCATTTACACAAATATTGGGTATTTTGTGAAGGTATTTTCTCGTTAAGATAATTGAAAATATAACTTTGTAAATGAATGTAACTATTTGTTTTTTCTATAACTGCCTTTTCGCCCAAAAAGTAATTTGCAAAATTTATAATTCTGCATTTTCACAAATATTAAATCATTAAGGTAAGAAAATAATTTTTGTATTTATCATCAATCAGAATATATACATTTTCCATAAATAAATTATAATTGATTGAATTTCAGTTTTCTCTAATATGTAGGTCCTATATTAAGAATTCCCAATTAGGTACTTTAGAAACAATTTCAGTTTCATTATCAGAAGACGAATTATATTATTGACAAATCGAAAAATTATAAAGAATGCTCCAATATTGCAACCGTAATTTCACAAATTGAAACAGGGAATTCACAAAATGTCTATTGGAAGCATATTATATCACCATTGGTTGACTAAAAATGTGCTTCAAACACCGTTGAATAAACTGACTATTTATAAAAGAGCTGGTTTTCTTGAAATATTTTCCATATACTGCACCATAACACAGGGTTATTTAATAGCTAAGAATACGTAATTTTAGCATTAAACTAAAGTAAAACTATCAAATTTTTTCTCGTTTCAATTGTGCTATTGATTATATGAGTACATATGGCAACCTAATAGGTGTTAATTTTGTACATAACAAAAATAGGGGTTCAGTAATTCAAATTTTTGAAAACAAAATACTTTCCAATTCAGAAATGACTCTTTACTGTTACTCCACACTCGTAACATTCAGCTTAAATAAAAAAATAGACCAACAAGAAATACTGGTAACATATTCATCGCTATTTGTAAACTTATACTTATCTAGCTTGTTCTTATCATAATGTAAATAGAAGAAAGAAAAAAAAAGTAATCAAGTGGGTTCAGCTTTTCTCTGTAAAGAACATCATAGTTTTTTCCCAAGTTCTTGGAAATTATAATTAATCATTACTCATTACTTAATTTAGCCTCAGAAATTCTTTCCAACTTCAAAGAGTCGCCAATAGATGTCACGAGATGGTAAATAAGCTTTCTGTAGTTCTTTTACAACTTTAGATACCCATTCAGAGATGTCGCGTTTTAATCCACATTTTAAGAAGCATGAGAACACAGACCGTTAAAATAGTCTGTATACAAAGGTTAATGTTAAAAATTACATTTTAACAATGAAATATCTGAATTGAGCTTTTGCAACAGCAGATGGCACTGTCGGTCATAAATAACTTTGGAAAATGTAATATAATCCCAGAATCACACCAAGTTGCACTATTTTTAATTTTTCACTGGATATTAAGTTAATGCCGATTTTGATAGTATATTTCAGAAGATAATTTTACAGAGTGATATAAGATTTGTTTAAAAAATGAAAAATGATCTGGTATTGGTAAAAACATCCACATGTTTTTAAAATGGGATCATTAACAGGATTCGAGAAACTATCCTTACTTTATTATCCAAAATAAGATATCATTGTCAAAATGATTAATAAAATATATTAAAATAATGAATATATTTTTATCCTATCTATAATAGTACAATGTATAAATATGAATATATTATGCGACAGTCGAGAAATATGGCCATTACTCGAATGTGGCCTTACTTGTGAGAACGATAAATTCCTGTACAGTTTTTGTTAAATTAGTTTATTTTGTGATGCTGTACAAATTAGGTAACTCCTCTGGAGTCAATCAACATCAACTGTACATAAATATCTAACCTCGAACTATAATTCTAATTTATACAGTATGATATTATAAATAACCTCTTAAATAAAAAAACGAATTTTATAAACGCCATGAGGAATTTATCACCTTTGCGTATAGAGATAACCTTTGCCTATAGAGAACACTTTTCCGAAAATGTAAATTTTTTTATATTTTCTTATCCCATTTTTTGTATGGATCTTGTTTAGGACAGATCCCAGTCTCAATTAATATCTGAAATAATAAAACTACTAGTTACTAGTTTCACTTCTTCAATATTTACAAATGCACCACCTGCAACCTGCAACCATAAAACTGAAACTCATTTTCAATGACTTTCTGAAAATCTAGCATGGGCGGTAGTGGTTTTTGTTTGTGTGGATATTGGAAGGCAAATTCATCACATGTTCTCGTCAATTGTCATATTGTCTATAAAAAGTTAATCTATTAAAGTACCTAATCCTCATATGTAAAATTTCATTCCGCAGGCAATTTGGCAGTTCTGAATGGTACTTCACACGATTTTTTCCACGGCCATCTTATATTTAATTTAGTGAATTACTTTTTGCCATGGAACTGGAATATTGAATACATATATTATGTACTATGAAAACATGGATATTAGGTGCAGGGAATATATCTGTAAATGATCATTTTGAATAGTGATTGCTATAAAATGATAAAAAGATAGTTATGAGTTCCATTAAAAAATGTCTTTTAGCCAACTTTTGATTATCAGTATTCAATAATTTTTATGGACACCCTGCATTGATCGTTTAGTATAAACCTTTTCCTAGAAGTCTCATAATAGAGACAAATAATATTATATGGAATAAGAAATATATTCAAATGAAAAATGTCTTGCAAATGCAAATTTTTATATTAAATGTCAAATATTTTAGAAACTATGTAGAATCTGAATAATGAAANATTGTTCCTGTTACCCAACCAACCTTTTTTCATAAAAATTATTGGATCACTTGACTAGTTAACTGAATTATTTATATATATTTTTTGATCATTTCAAAAAGCTTCAATAATTTTTCACACTCTGGACTATATTTAATAGTAGAATATCTTCTTGCAAATAAAATGTTTTCATTTAGGAGAGTTTATTGATATTTCAGTTTAAAATTTTAAATAATTGAAATAAAAAAATTTAGAACTGCAAAAGAGTATGAATATTTGTGAATAATCCCTGTCATTAAATGTAATTCAATTATTGCGGTTTGGTTACACCAGTTGTAGTTTCCTGTTTTGTTCCAGGAAACAATGGCAAGGAGCCAAGAAAAGATAAGGATGTCGTCTCGCCGACCATTCACGAAAACGCTAACGGTGAGTGTTGCATTTTTTTAAATGAGTGTTTGCTCAATACGTAAAATATGATAATAGAAAATCATACAATTAAGCATAACCAAGCCATTCACTTCACCCATCCGTTTTACTACAAGCAAATTACAGCGATATTTGAGTTCTGACAATCAGAAATTTGTAATTTATACCATCTCATTATAAAAAAAAATCTTGAACGAACAAGTAACAAATGCCTTCTTAGTTTATCATGTCTACTAAGAACACATGATTCGCAAACGCATGGGCAAGGCGACAGAGATCTGTTAATGGTCCGGACTAGTTATAATTTCACTTGACGATGATAATAATAATCACTATATTACACCATCAGAGCGTGAAGTACAGCAAGAATATCCATTAGCAACTGCTCTCTTTTGCCTGTCTATACACAATATAATTGAAAATTCAAAAATAGAGTTGAGTACTTACAATTTAGATGACCGTTCCTTCGGAGGAGATTATACGGAACTTTCCAATGCCCTCTCATCTGTTATTCAAAAATCTAAGGAGATTGGGCTTGAACTTCTCTCCTCTCCTCTCCTTTCCTCTCCCTCTCCTCTCCTCTCCTCTCCTCTCCTCTCCTCTCCTCTCCTCTCCTCTCCTCTCCTCTCCTTATATTCAAATGAAAAATGTCTTGCAAATGCAAATTTTTATATTAAATGTCAAATATTTTAGAAACTATGTAGAATCTGAATAATGAAATGTAGAATGTCCGAACACTTTCGAATATAGAAGTGTTCAAAAAAATTAACTATTCTAGAGAAATTCTACTCAACTTCATCTCCATACTACTTAATTTCCATAAATGTGTGTAAATTGGTCGAAATATGATGATGCAACCGTGCGAAGCCGGGAAGGCGTTGCTACCCGTGCAAAGCCAGGACAGATCCGTAGTATACAAAAAAGTTTTTTCTTCATACACCCATATTAGAGATTTTGGAAAGAGGAAAATCTAGATGAGCACCAATTTTTAAAATTGTTAACAATAATATATTGTCTCTGACTCATATACAATTCAAAATTTCTTAAAAACAGTTAAAAATCATCATGTTCAAAATATGCTCAAGAACTAATATATGTACCTACTTTTATCTGCACTTCAAAATCATTTTATCGGGAAGTTATTGAATGATTCAATCGTTTTACCATTTTTACCTGACTCATATCTATGATTTACGCATTTTTGTGTATTCCTCTCGTGTAAACGTAGATCATACACAATTCCTGTATGTTGAGTCATAAAGAAAAATGAATGCTTTGAAAATCTTTATTTCAGCCCCTGCTTACAAAGGTTTTTGTGGTTCCATTTTCAATACTATTTATGAAAAGGATTTTTTAATATATCACATACCTGCACAGTTTACTTCATTAAATCAGGCATACCTGACATATTTTCAATTTTCACGAGAAAAGAGGATGACGTCATGATTCGATCCGATCTAATAGTGCCTTAATGAACTACTCAATCACCTGAAGAATATGACGTATTAAAAAAAACACTTTAATGTGATATTTCCACTTGAAAGTTTACAAAACCGCGACACGTGTTTCGCTATACGATAGCATCCTTGGCAATTTATAGCAATTTATATCATCTTAGATAATGGAAGTTCGAACTGATGAAATACAAAACGAAATATTGTTATTCTGCATCTACCCCCTAATCATTGCGAACTTAAACCCATTGAAGTCCAAATGGTTTCTTTGAAAAAAGAAACAGTACATTTGAAATGAAAGTTCTCAAATTGAAATGTTATAAAAATTTTGACTCTCAGATTCTCAGAACTTGTATTCCACATTTCTTATGGAATACCAGTTATGATTTCAACTGTAAAAAAGTCATTAGTAATAAATTTGTCACTGGTTTTAAAGGCTGTCTGGCGTGAAATTTTNGCAGCCCTGAATATATCACTTTGAAAAATGTGATGATCAATAAAGATAATTGAAAAAAATGGAATGCATGAGAATTTAGAGACGTATAGAAAGATACAAAATGTTCAATTTGGAAGAACATGTAACAGGTTACAAAAAATGGTGAATATAAAATGTTGGACACATTGGAAACCAAAATAAGGTGTTATACATATATTTATATACACTACCTTTTCCTCTTGAACAGAAAGATCTTCCTCTTGAAGATGATCGCGTGGTGTTAAAATAATGGTTTGCTGTTAGGAAAAAACTCCAGTAATATTCTGACAGTATTTGTAACCAATAATTGTAATGAACAATTATGGCTGTTCATGTATCGTAATAAATTAATAGTATATTATTCGAGAAATGTGGTCATTACTCACGAGAGTGAGTATACGTATTCGCGAACCGAAGGTAAATGTTTTAAATCATTCAAGAGAATAATCTTCTCTTCTCTTCTCTTCTCTCCTCTTCTCTCCTCTCCTCTCCTCTCCTCTCCTCTCCTCTCCTCGTCTTTTCTCAGGAACTGTTTGACTATTCCAACACTCATTTATCTCATGAAATTTTATCCAATCTGCACCACCAAACATATTTTACCAGGTTTGATGAAGAAATTCGTAACACTCTTCGACTTATATTGAATGATCAATTGGAGCGCAATGCATGGATACGCAGTTATTACCGAAGCACAATCAATTAACTTTGATATTTCATAGATGATATTGGAATATCTATACCTTCAGTGTAGCTTATAGAAACATAACTCGTAATTTATATAGGGGGACAACGTCATAAAGAAGCAAATCTATTTTTGACCTATTGTTTTACTGTTACTTAATCTTTATATGTGGAAATTTGATATGAACACAATATTTATAATATCGTGTTCACACCATATCTTTGGAAAAAACATCAGGTAAATGAAGATGCACTTTATCGAACTTCCTACACGTTCAACAGACGTTTTTATCACATGATACTGACCACAAATAATCAAGAAGAACGCCATAACCTCATTGTAGCGATTACTTTCTACCACAGAGTTTCCTGGATAAACTAATTGACGATGATTTTTTTCTTCACAATTCTGTAAAACTCATATCTACTACCATTATAAATATACTGTTATACAGGGTGTAAAATAAGTACGTTAAAATAGTCAATATATTCCTGAGAAAATTTTAAGAAAAAAAGTCTATATGGACTTGTGTCCATATACTTAGTGTTATTTGCACTAAATTCGGTACCTGGTTTTTTTTTGACGTGGGAAATCATAATTTCGTATTAATTTACATGTAACATCTAGAGGGCGCTGCGTACGTTGTCATTATTTATTTCAAATTACCCTAACTTTTTTGACAGTAAACTTTTCATGAAAAACCCTAATTCCCACACCTTTTCCAAGTAACAAAGGTAAACCTCCTCAACAACGCTGGAGGTTATCGTTTTCGAGATATTTACAATTTTCTATATCGATGCATATTACTTAGCTCCTAGGCCGCTAAGTGAAGTTGCTGAGAACATTACAAAAACTAAGTATGTGGTGGATCTCGTCAAAATAAACAACTTTTTCCTATAAAATGTTTAACGAAGAATGATTCGTTTTCAAAATACAGATTGTTGAAATTTTTCATAACATGGTAGGCTTTTGTCATAAGTTTTTTGCAATTTTAGTTATTTTCATCAAACTTTATACGCAGTATACCACCCGTACAGACTTCTTCTAAACTGAGCATTATCGAACTGCGTATTCAATCAAAATTAAAAAAATTGTCAGGTTTAATTATTCAATTAGAAAGTGCTACCTTTCGGAGCTTGTAAAAAAAACAAATCGGAGAGGTACTATGTTATTCATTAGGGAAATAAACATATAAAAATTGAACGAAACAACTATTACAACAACTATTCAAAGTGCTCTCCTCATCAAAGAATTCCGCACCCGTTGAAAAATGCCCGGAGTGTTTCTTATCGTTTCGCAGCAAGCTAGGATGCGATCCCTCAACATTTCCTCGTTTTCAATGGGGCTAGCAAAAACTAGTGATTTATGGTGTCCCCAAAAGAAAAAAATCGACGGGATTGAGGTCCGGTGACCTCGGGGGGCCAATGCTCAGTGCCTCCTCTTCCTATCCATCGTTGGGGATATGCTACGTCTGAAAAATTTCTTGCTATCACACTAAAATGAGCAGGAGATCCATCGTGCATGAACCAATAGTGATTTCGGAGACCAATGGAAACATCCTCCATAAGTTGGGGAAGCTCGTGTTCCAAAAAATGTAGGTAAGCATCTCCATTCAAACGTAAGGGGAGAAAATAGGGCCCAATTAAATAATCCTCAATTATGCCTACCCTACCCATACATTAAAAGAGAATCTGTCTTGGAAATGAGTTTGCGTTATCGCATGTGGATTATCTTCCGCCTAGATGTGGTTGTTATGGAAGTTCATGATACCATTTCTTGATAAATTAGCCTCATCTATGAAGAGGATTTTCGATAAAATTTGCGGATGTTGTTCGACTTTTCTTTGAAGCCATTGAGCAAATCACGTAGCGTAAGTGCCTGGACACGCTGAATATGATAAGGATATAATTGCTGTTCCTTTATAATTCTGTAAACTATCATGTGGCTCACATTTAAAGTTTGACAAATTTTTCTTGTACTTGTCTCTGGATGTTCACTAATTTCTTCGAGAACCGCCCCCTCCAATTCCATGGACCTCCTACTGCAGAATTTGTTTCAAAGCTTTCAGATTCGGAAAGTCGCCGGAAAAGATTCGCAAATGTTGCTGCACAAGGAGTCACGCGTTGGGGATACCTTTCCTGATAGATGCGTCTGGCCTCGCTTGAATTTCCGTCAGCCAAGCCGTATGCAAAAACCATATCAGCCATTTCAGCATTCGTAAAGTCGGGCATGGTACCAAAAAATCACTTTATAAACTCCGAACTGTGAATTTGTCAATTAATAGTTAAAAATGTGACAGCGAACTTCTATTTTTATAAACAAACTTTCATAGCCTACTCGATTTAATTAACTTAGTTTGCAAGCGGAGAGTGACAAAGATTATTGAAAT